ACGGTGCCCTCGCCCTTCTCCCCCGGCTGCTCTTCCAGCTATGTTGGGGACTCCCTGCACCCTTGGGACACCACTCCTTGGCTAGGCTTGCTGGACCCTTTAGATCCCAGGCTGTCCCTTGTCCCCACTGGTTGTGTCCTGTCTTATTTTTTTGAAATGGAGTCTCGCTCTGTCGCCAGGCTGGAGTGCAGTGGTGCAATCTCGGTTCACTGCAACCTCTGCCTCCTGGGTTCAAGCAATTCTCCTGCCTCAGCGTCCTGAGTAGCTGGGACTACAGGTGCCCACCACCATGCCGAGCTGATTTTTGTATTTTTAATAGAGACGGGGTTTCACGATGTTGGCCAGGATGGTCTCGATCCCTTGAACTCGTGATCCGCCCGCCGCGGCCTGACGCACAGGCCCACGATGCGCAGATGCACGTGTGCTGTCTCCAGCGTTTCATCCTCTAAGCCCGCCCCTTCCGCTCCCGCCCTCACGACTCACTCCATTCCGCTCCCGGCTTGCTCCTGAACTCTCTCCAAGCAGGCTTCTCCCCACACCCCTTGACATTCGGTAAAGGGCACCGTGACCTATATGTTGCCACCTCCAAATCTGTCCCAGCCGACTGCTCCCTTATTCTTGGGACACCTTGGCTTCTGGGAGCCCTGAGCCTCCTTGGCCCCACGCCTCTCACCCACCTCCTTTCCTGGAAACCAGGCTGGAGCCTCCGCCTCTCACCTCCTGTCCCAGTGCCTCATGTTCCGAGCGCCCTCTGTATACCCACGCCCCTCTGCCCCGTGCCTCAAGCGCCCTTTGTATACCCACGCCCCCCACCTCCAGGGCCATGCACACCTCTGAGCTCCGCCACCTTCCAGGTGCTCAGCCTTCCCCTAACACCGGGAGGCCTGCTAGATTCTCCTCCTCTGCTCACACCCTCACCTGTGGGCAGGGGCCCGGCAGGAGGTGGTTCTTCTCTCCAGGAACCCCTGGTGCCCCTCAGCCTGCTCCAGCACAGTTGACTTCAGTGGCGTCAGCCTCCCCGTCTCCCTACGCTGCATTCTCAGCCAGAGTTGCCATGAAAACCTAAGCTGGCTATACCACCCCTCCGAGAGCCTGTCTGGTTCTCCAGCGTCCTCACTTTCGAGGCCCCTCACCCAACTGCTGTGGAGCCCTGCCCTGGTGGGACAAGCCAGAGGAAGAGGAGTGCGCCCTGGGTCAGGTCCAGCAGGAGCATGATGGGATCAAAGGTCAACTCCCATCACTAGATGGCAAGACCTGCTCCCCTCCACCCTGGGCCTCCTAGGTGTTTGGAAAGCCTGCTCTGCCCATCCCCCACCCCAGCCACCCTCCTGGCAGTCCATCCTCCCTCCCTGAGGAACCTGCCTCTTCACAGCTGTTCCCCCGCCTCTGGGCAGCCTCTGGTGCCACAGCGAAGCCATGAAGCCACGTGGAGGGCACCAGCAACCTCGGCACTGCTGTGGGTGTCCACACTCCTGCTCGCAGGGGACAGCTTTCATCAGCCAGACACTGCAGCATAGATGGCAGCTGCGACCCAAAGCAGGGGGTTCCCGGGATGGATCTAAAAGTGACCACGGGAGAAAAAGGCAAGCGGCTGAGGTGCGGCAGCGCTGCGGGGCCCATGGCAGGGAGTGTTACAATGTCTGCTGCCACTTGTACTCACGGTGGGAAGGACACACTCGGGCTGGCACTGAGACTGACTGGGAAGGGAGGCGACGGGCACGCAGGGCTTCCCATCCGCCCGGTGTTGCTCCTTTAACTGGGTGCTGAGCTCCCAGGCATCATTATGCTCTTCCTGTGTTTGTCTGAAATAATTCACTCAAACCCTCCGCTCCCACCCCCGGGGCTGCAGGGGAAAACCCTCGCTCCTTGGTGGACATTCAAGGCCCCGTGGGACCTGCCCCTGTCACTTGGACTCTGCAGTCCTTTGCTCCTCCTCTGCCCTCTGCTAGAAATGCCTCTTTCTGCCCATCTGGACTTTGTGGCTCTGTCTTCATCCACAGGAAGCTTCTAGGCAGCTGAGAAACAGCATCAGACTTGGCTTTTAGAAAAAGGCCTCTGGGGCAGGCGGATCACTTGAGGCCAAGAGTTCGAGACCAGCCTGGCCAACATGGCAAAAACCCCGTCTCTACTAAAAATACAAAAACTGGCCAGGCGAGGTGGCTCCTGCCTGTAATCCCAGCTTCCTTTGGGAGGGCCGAGGTCTCCCAAAGACCTTCCTTTGATCACGAGGTCAGGTGTTTGAGACCAGCCTGGCCAACATAGTGAAACCCCATCTTTACTAAAAATACAAAAAAATTAGCTGGGCATGGTGGTGGGTGCCTGTAATCCCAGCTACATGGGAGGCTGAGGCAGGAGAATTGCTTGAACCTGGGAGGTAGAGGTTGTAATAAGCTGAGATCTCACCACTGCACTCCAGTCTGGGTGACAGTGTGAGACTCTGTCTCAAAAACAAACAAACAAAACCAACCAAACAAACAAAACTAAAAAAAACCCAAAAACTAGCCAGGCACCGTGACACATGCCTGTAGTCCCAGCTATTTGGGAGGCTGAGGCTGGAGAATTGCTTGAGCCCAGGAGTTCTGGGCAGCAGTGCGCTATGCTGATCCGGTGTCCGCACTAAGTTCGGCATCAATATGGTGACCTCCCGGGAGCGGGGGACCACCACATTGCCTAAGGAGGGGTGAACGGGCCCAGGTTGGAAACGGAGCAGGTCAAAACTCCCGTGCTGATCAGTAGTGGGATCTCGCCTGTGAATAGCCACTGCACTCCAGCCTGGGCAACATAGCGAGACCCCCATCTCTTAAAAAATTAAAAAAAAAAACAAACCCAAAACTAGCTGGGCATGGTGGCGCATGTCTGTAATCCCAGCTACTTGGGAGGCTGAGGCATGAGAATAGCTTGAACCTGGGAAGTAGAAGTTGCAGTGAGCTGAGATTGCACCACTGCACTCCAGTCTGGGTGATGGAGTGAGACTCTGTCTTGGAAAAAAAAAAAAAAGACCTCTGGGATCCCCAGCAAGGAAGGCAGGTCAGGGTGTGGGGGGCAGGGGAGACATCAAGGGGTGGAGAGACCCGACCTGAGGCCCAGTGCACAGCCTGGCATCCACTGATGCCCTTTCACCCTCATTCCACCAGTAGCCGTGGAGACAGCTGCACCTCAACTCCAGCCCTCAAAGAGCAGAACGGGGCAAGGGAGCAGGGGAGCCTTGAGCCACAGGTAGCCCACCTGAGCACCACCTCCCAAGATTCCCCAGGGTCTGGAGCTCCCAAAGGCTGACTGTTGTCCCCAGGACCGCCACTCACTTTGTTCTCGCTGCCATCATACTTGGGGGCGTCCGGCACTGGCAGATGGGAGAAGCCCTGGGGAGACAGGCCTAGAGACGGGAGGAGAAATTCGTGGAGCTAAGGCAAAGGCAGGTGCAAATGCCAGGCCCAGTGCCCTCTGTACCCCTACCCCTGCTGACGACCTGGTTGCCGTAAGCTTGGCAGTTGCCATGGACTCCCTGGGAGGGATGGCGTGGCCTGCAAGGTCCCCTGCCCTGAGGTGGGGCAGGGCTGGTGGGGTCTGGGCATCTCCTGCTGGGTGCATGCAAGGCAGCCTGGGCAGGGTGCACATGAGAGCCACCTGCGCTGGGGTGGCCTGGCCCTCTCTGGGCCTCACAGCCTTGCCTGCCCCGTCGTACTGCCCACCCAGCCTCTCAGGACTGCTCTGTGGTGTGTGTGACTAAGCGATTTCGCTTGTGGGGTTGGGGACAGGGGCTTGCCCAGACCTGTTGAGAGGGCCCAGGTGACTTCCACCCAGACTGGCCACACCAGCACCTGCCCTGACTGGCTGGGGCACAGAGAGAAGCCAGGACAGGGCTGGGCATGGGTATAGGGACGTGTCCTCTGGGCAGGCCCCTCCCACCAGGGCGAGGCAGAGGCCTTACTTGGATGGAGTGGAGTGGGAGGGTCTCCCTGGTGAGACAGTACTGGAAGGGCAGGGACAGCATTCTGCGGAAGGAGCCAGAAAGAGCCCCTGTATGGAAGGTGGGGATTTCACCATGAGACCCCAGCTGCCTGGCCTCTGAGAACTTGTGTGGGGGATTCCAGGTGGAGGGTCGTGCCCTTCTCCAGATCTGTGTCCACATTTGTAAAATGGGCCTAGAACTCCCAGCCGCTGAGGCAAGTGAGGCCATAAATTAGTAGAGATGGACCCAGGCTCCTAAGCCCCTAGGTCATGACCCCAAACCTTGGACCCCCACGGAGAGGCTGCGGCGGCTGAGGCCCAACCCAACCTATCTCGACCAAATGTGGGAAGAACCGCACGGCAAACCCCTGGCTTCTCTCCTGGCCGCTCCGCTTTTGGAGGCCACCTATCTGAGGCCTGATTTGCTGGGGGCCGAACTGGGGATCATTGTGTCCACTGTGGCTGGTGGTCGTGAATCGAAGAGCGTGGAGGCCGAGATGGGCGTAGTGCCCACTCCGAAAGAGCTGTCCCCTAACTGTCCGCCCCTCCCTACCCTGCGCGGGTCAGCTGGAGTGGGGGCGCGCCAGACACCTATCGGGGCAGAAGGCAGTGGAGCCCTTAAGGGTCACAGCTCCCCCGCCTCCCACGTGCAGATGGGGTAACAGCCCGGAGGTTTTTCCCAAGGTCACAGAAGGTCAGAGAAAAGGGAAGTTGGACGCCACGAGGAAAGTCACGCATGGCGGAAGGCGGGCCACCTATGCGCGCGCCCGTCCTCGCCAAGCAGCTACGCTCTCCCGGGCCGGGGCTGCCCGGAGCGCGGAGCCTTTCTCCGCCCGCAGCTAGGGTTCCGGGAGCCCCGCCCCGCCCCTCCACGCCCACCTCGCCACGGCTCCGCCCCTCCTCTCCGTTTTCCCCCGCCCGCGCTCCCTCAAGTTTCTCCGAAGTTTTCCGCGGGTCCAGCGATGAGCCCCGCCCTCCAGCCTGGTGACGTAACAATGGTGCAGCGCGGCGGCCAATGGGCGGTGGCGGGGGCCGGCGGCGCGGGCCAATGGCGGCGGCGGACGGTTCCGCGGTCCTGCCCGGCCGGGGCCGCACTGCGCCGCCCGCCGCCCGTCGCCCGCCGCCCGCCGCCCGCCCGCCGTCGGCGCCGGCACCGCCGCCCAGCGATCCGGCCGCGGCGGCTCACAGCGCGGCTGCGGCGGGCGCGGGCGGCGGCGGCTCCCTCCCGTGCGTCCGTCGTGGGACCTTCGCTCGCTCGCCCGGCTGGGTACAGCGCGCTCTCCGGCCCGCGGCGGGGCGGGGACGCCCGGCCGGTGGCCCCGCGCCCCCCAAGGTGAGTCCTCGGGCCCCGCGCCGCGCCCGCAGCCGCCGCCTCCTCCTCCCCCGGGACACGCGCACGCAGGTGCAGCCCTAGCTGCGCTGGCCACCTGCGCGCGGACGCCCCGCTCGCCCTTGCGACCCTCCGCCGCCCCGAGGTCAAGCCGTGCGGGCCGGGAAGGGACGGGAAGGAGGTGGCTGGCGGCTCCGGGCGCGGCGCTGCCCTCGATGGCCCAACCCCCTTATTCACAAGCCGCGGCGGTGTCTCTGCCCGCTGACGTGGGGAGGCCGAACTTTACGTAACCCGCCCGGCGCCCCACGCGTGCCCGCACAGGGCATACCTGGCGCGAAGGCCCAGGCTTGGGGAAGGGACTCCAGTCACGGTGTTGCCCACGGGCCGCAGCCCACCCCCACCGTGCCGCTGTCTTTAACTCAGTTACTCCAGCGATAGTGACCCAGTGTGTGTGGATGCGGCCTGCCCTCTGTCCCAGGCTCCCTGTGACCAAGGGCTTACCCTTGAAAGAAGGCAGTAGGGAGCCTGGGCCAGAGCCAGAGGTCAGACGCCTAGGCTCAGGTCGGGGCTGCGGGCCCAGAGGGCAGGGGCAGGGCACAAGCTCGATTCCCTGTGGGTTGGGAGTCCCCACCAATTCTGGAATGAGCCCAAACTGAGACGCAGGAGACCTGAGTTCTAGGCCTGGCTCTGCCGTGGCTTGCTGACCTTGGAGAAGCTTGTGCCCTGCTGGAAAGTGGGATGGCAGTACCCACTTCATCTAGCAGTTGGGGAGACCAAGAGAAGTATGAGACCTGGAGAGGATGGCTGATGGTGCAGTGCAGTGCACACGGGTCTTCAGGTTGTTTTCACCCTCCTGCCTCCTCCCAGGAGCCAGGGGTGCTAACGTGTAAGCAAACATGTTTGGATAGGGCTGGCGCCACGCCCCAGGCTCACCCTGTCCCGCACAGCCGTCATCCACCCTTTCCCTTTCTTACAGATGAAGCTGAGGCTTGGCCAAGGACAGTGATACCCACATCCCCGGAACTAGGTGATTGTGGTGCAGGAACCAGGTACTGACTCTAGGTGATTGTGGTGCAGGAACCATGATCTGACTCTAGATCATGCTTGCCTCTGACCAGGCCGGGAAGAGGCTCCAGGGGCTTCCACGTGGTCTGGGGTCAGAGGTCACGGTCAGGGTTGCGCTTGGGCTGGAGAGTGAATTTGGCTCAGCTTGTGATGTGGGCCCAAGCTTTCCCATCCCCTCCCTGGCCTTTTCTTTGGGGTTGTGTGAATCTGGCTTAGGTGGGACGGAAGCTCTTCCAGTGGGTCCCTGGGTTGGGGAAGTCTGGGGAGATCTGAGGGCATGGGCATGGGCATGGGCATGGGCAGCAAGGGCATCTCCAACAGAGGTGCCAGAGAGCAAGTCCGTTTCAAGGAGGGAGAACTGGTACAGCGAGATCAAGGATGGAGGCGGTGGTGGGTGTGGGAGAGATGGAGCTGTGTGGGATGAATGGAAAGGTCTGGCCAAGGCTGGAGGTACGTACGAGGGCCTGGTGGGCTGGGACCGGAGGGGCTGTGTGAGGGGCTGGGGGAGTCCCCGGGCCTCCCCAGTTCCCCGGCGCCTCACCATGGCCCCTTCTCCTTCCCCACAGGTGTGCCTTTGCGGGACCCATGCCTTGAGGCCCGGGAGCATCCCGCTGCCAGCATGCCGTGGGATGCGCGGCGGCCCGGGGGCGGCGCGGACGGCGGGCCCGAGGGCCCGGGCGCGGCGCGCTCACGGGCACAGAAGCAGTGCCGCAAGTCGTCGTTCGCCTTCTACCAGGCGGTGCGCGACCTGCTGCCCGTGTGGCTGCTGGAGGACATGCGCGCCAGCGAGGCCTTTCACTGGGACGAGCGTGGGCGCGCCGCCGCCTACTCACCCTCCGAGGCGCTGCTCTACGCGCTCGTGCATGACCACCAGGCGTACGCGCATTACCTGCTGGCCACGTTCCCACGGCGCGCGCTCGCACCGCCCAGCGCGGGCTTCCGCTGCTGCGCGGCTCCCGGGCCGCATGTGGCTCTGGCCGTGCGCTACAACCGCGTGGGCATCCTGCGCCGCATCTTGCGCACCTTGCGCGACTTTCCTGCCGAGGAGCGTGCGCGCTTGCTGGACCGGCGCGGCTGCAGCCGTGTGGAGGGTGGTGGCACGTCGCTGCACGTGGCCTGCGAGCTGGCGCGCCCCGAGTGTCTCTTCCTGCTGCTAGGCCACGGCGCCTCGCCCGGCCTGCGCGATGGTGGCGGCCTCACGCCTCTCGAGCTGCTGCTGCGCCAGCTGGGCCGCGACGCTGGGGCCACTCCCGCCGCTGCTGCTGAACCCCTGGCCTCCGCACCCGGGGAGCCACGCCAGCGCCGCCTGCTGCTGCTGGACCTGCTGGCGCTGTACACCCCCGTGGGTGCCTCTGGCCCGGCCCGCCGGGAGCTGCTGGGCGACCGGCCGCGCTGGCAGCGGCTGCTGGGTGAGGACAAGTTCCAGTGGCTGGCTGGCCTGGCACCGCCCTCACTGTTCGCGCGCGCCATGCAGGTGCTGGTCACTACCATCTCTCCTGGCCGCTTCCCTGAGGCCCTGGACGAGCTGCCGTTGCCTCCATTCCTGCAGCCGTTGGACCTCACTGGCAAGGGCTAGGTCCGGAGCACCCTAGGCGCTGGATTTGGGGACAAAATTATTTTTCAGAGCGTTGTACCTGGCACTTTACATATATTGATCTCTGTACAGCACAGTCTCTGCCTCGTCTGTCGCATGCATTGGGGGATGGGCTTGGATGTCCATTCCAGGTGGGTTCCAAGTGGCAGAATTTCTGGGTGCAGCTGGGCTCAGGCCTTCAGCTCACTGTCTAGCCCCAGAAAGGGGTGAGGCCCAGCCTCCCACCTTTATCTAGAGCCTCGGACAGGTGTCCCAGAGGGACTGACAGCTGAGTGCAGCAGGAGCTGGGTAGGTGCAGGGGTGGGGACCGGTGTGTCCCAGCAGCAGGACCTCGTGTAAAAAGGCCTGGAAGCCAATAGAAGGGGCTCTGCAGCGTAGAGGTTCTGACGGGAGGTCCTGTGCGGCCAGACTTTAGCAGCCTGTGGACTCCGGACCAGGGAGGGCACATAGGGCTGGCAGGCCCACGGTGACTGGTGTTGGGACATAACCAAGTTGTACGTGGTCCACCCTACCCCCCACTGACCACCAGTTCCTCTTTGGATTATCAGGCCCCCTGACAGCCCGCCCAGGCCTGGATTTGTCCCTGTTGCCCCCGTTTTCCCCTCCTCCAAGACTAATGGGTACCAGTCCTGCAGCTCCTGCTTCTCTCCCGTCTGCAGTGGCAGCAGGCCCCTGGCCCCAGCGGCATGCCAGGCAGTGGGGTTAGATGTGCCTTCCTCCAGGTCTGCCCTCTGTCCAAGCCAGGAGTAGGCTGGGTGAGCTCCCCAGCTGGCCCCCAGTGGGTGTTAGGTGGTGCCCCGGGTTACTCAGGGGCAGCTGCATCACTGCAGGGACAGGCTTCCTGCCCAGCTTGGAGAGGAGAGCTGTTTTTTTTTTTTTTTTTTTTTTTTTTAAGGAAGATCCTGGAGATGGAGACTTGTTCATGAATGTACCACAACTCTATGCTGAGAGGCTGGGTCCACACCGTCGAAGCCGAGAGACCAGGGAGGGTGGCCAGGCTGCCCTGCCCGAGAATTCTCTGGGCCATGAAATTCAACCCGCACTAACGTGCGTAGGAGAGCCAGTGTCCTGCCAGGAGCAGAGGCTGAAGGTCTGCTGGAGGAAGAGCCACCAGCCTGGCAGGGGCACCTGCTGCCCATCCTGCCCTCAGTGTGCCTGGAGGGAGCATGCCTGGGTGTGGAAGAGTCCAGGGTGCTGGGCCAAACAAGACAGGGTGGAGGGGCTGGACAGTAGGAAGAGCTTGCCTGGGGTGGTGGATCCGCCTACTCTGGGGGTGACCTTGGATAAGCCTGTGCCTTGGCCCTCCGTCTCCCCATCAAGGTTTTTCTATTCAGGGGGTGTTGGGCTGGCTTCGGCCACTCTGCCAGCACTGAAGAGGATGTGCCTTCTGTTTCTGGGAAGCATGGGGTGTGTTAGGCGGGCACACAGCCCTGGTTGTGGGGAGGGAAGGATGGGGAGGGAGCACAGCCCCCTGACAGAGCCCAAACTGCCGGCTGGAGTGAGGGCTCTATGTCTGCCCTGCGGTGTGTCCTGGACCAGTGCCTCTGAACCTTGGCACTTGGGGCAGTGGATATTAATATCTTTCCAAGCCCAAGACAGGGCATCAGGGCCTACGGTCCTCTGGGAGGTTGCAGTCCTCAGATCTGTGATGCCATGGGAGGGGCAGGTACCTCTCCTTTGGTGGGTATGGAAGTGGACACTAGGAGTGGCTTGGCACAGCTGTAGTGGTTCTTAGGGGCTGGGTCCTGGGGAGCCCATGATGCCCCAGCAGCTTCTGCCTCCAAAGCCTGGGCTCCTTGCTGCAGGTCTCGATGTGCAGAATCCTCCATGTCTCCCCAGCTCCAACTCTGTTCTCTGTAGGTCAGCCCCCACAACGCCAGAGGCCCAGGGCTAGCCCCCTCCACATGCCCCGTAAACCTACAGCTTCCCCTTTGGTGACAGTGCCACTGAGTCCCTTGGGTGTGGGGGTCATGCATAGGGTGAGGCAGTGCCTTGCCAGACAGGACACAGGCTTGCTGGCTCTGAGTATGGGCCCCAAGAAAGCCATTGTCAGGTGACCAGGGTGAGGCACCTAGGGTGGCCTTAGAATGCAGGGCGGAGCCTGCAAGAATTGTGGGCACCGCAGCAGGAGGGCAGCCTGGGCCAGTAGCTCCTGATATCATTGATTTGGGTGGGGGGACAGGGAGGTCAGAGGAAGCTGGCCAGCCGCTCTCACGCAGCCTTACAGCAGCAGAGCAGTGCCTGATTCCTGGTACAGCTACTCCCACTGAGTCTCCAGGAATCTGTGGCTCAGAAACCTCCCCCGCCCTGGCACTGGTGGGAGGAGAGGACCTAGGGTAAAGGTGCTGGGCAGATAAGCAGCTGAGGGCGGCCCCAGGGTTGACTTATCAGTCTCTTGGGCCTTCCTGCCCCAGGAAGGGCAGCGAAGACCATGGTGTCGCCCCCGTCATCGTTATCATCCTGGCCATGAGCTTGCAGGACTGGGAGGGCCGGAGCCAGCCAGACAGATGGCAGCTCAGCTTTTGCCTATTGGCAGGTGGCCTTGGTGGCTTCCCAAAGGCAATCGCTCCACGCAGAACAAAACTCATTTTTCTCTGGGGCAAAGCACATTGGTTCCTTTGTTTAGTTAGTTAATTCCACTAGTCTGTTTCTAAGGGAAACCTGGCTGCAGCCAGTCCTGCCCCTCCACCTACCCAGCAGGTGCCCAGTGTTCCCAAGGGCCCTGAATCCCAACCCTATTCGTTAAGGGGCTAGCATCTCTGCATCCCAAATACCTGTTAGGGAGGACAGTGAAGGGTGAGCACTCCTGGGGTCATCGAAAGCCAGCAGTGAGAGACCACCGCGACCTGCCTGAGGTGACTTCGTAGGGCAGTCCCAGCTGTCTGGGTGGCCTGGGCAAGGTGGGCGGGACCAAGGCCTTCTGGCGCCTGGACCATGGTGGGCTTGCTCTGCGTGCCGACTTCAATCCCGACAGTACCTTGATTTTCCCACTGTGATGTCCCCTTCTGTCCGACTTCTTCACGAACTTTAAAATTCTGTATTGAGGCCGAGCAAGGTGGCTCATGCCTGTAATCCCAGCACTTTGGGAGGCAGATGGGGGCAGATGACTTGAGGTCAGGAGTTAGAGACCAGCCTGGCCAACATGGTGAAACCCCGTCTCTACTAAAAATACAAAAATTAGCCAGGCGCGATGGTGGGCGCCTGTAATTCCAGCTACTTGGGCGGCTGAGGCAGGAGAATCACTTGAACTGAACCTGGGAGGCGGAGGTTGCAGTGAGCTGAGATCGTGCCACTGCACTCCAGCCTGGGTGAGACAGCGAGACTCCATCTCAAAAAAAAAAAAAAAAAAAATTCCATATTGAGAGCGGTTTCCTAAGTTATCTCAAATCCTGTTCAGAATAAGGATCTTCCTGGAAGTTGGGAGAGGGGAGAAAACAAGGGAAGTGAGTAACGGTTGGAGGAACCCTGCCCCTCTGCAGTGTGTGGTTTTGCCCTGATACTTTTCAGAATGAGGTGTAACTTACACGTAAGAAAAGGCACAGACCTAAGTGTATACTTTGATGAGTCCTGATGAATGTCTATGTCTGCATGTGTATAATCACCAGCACAGGCAGGATGAAGAGATTTCTACTGGTGATTCTTTTTTTTTTTTTTTTTTTAGACAGAGTTTCGCTCTTGTTACCCAGGCTGGAATGCAATGGCACGATCTAGGCTCACCGCAACCTCCGCCTCCTGGGTTCAGGCAATTCTCCTGCCTCAGCCTCCTGAGTAGCTGGGATTACAGGCATGCACCACCATGCCCAGCTAATTTTTTGTATTTTTAGTAGAGACGGGGTTTCACTATGTTGACCAGAATGGTCTCCATCTCTTGACCTCGTGATCCACCCGCCTCGGCCTCCCAAAGTGCTGGGATTACAGGCTTGAGCCACTGCGCCCGGCCTCTACTGGTGATTCTTAAACATAATTTCTTTCTGCTTATAAAATTTATGTTTACTGTAGAACACGGATTGAGTAGGAAAGTCGGGGCCATGGTGTGGGACTGTTTCCCATGGTCCTGCCAGGGGAACAGTCTCAAGTGCTCCCCTCCCCATGTGGTTCCGGGAGGCGGGGCCCTTAAGTGCTCACGGTACAGTAAAGGTACCGTACCGACTGACTGCGTTATCTACACTAAGCACTGCTAGCATTCTGGGTATGTTTCTTCCAGGGTTTTTCTATGCACATGCATATTACATTTTTTTCGGTGCACATTTTTATATACATGAAATCATATCACTTACACAATTTAGTTTTTTTTTGAGCCGAAGTCTTGCTCTGTCACCCAGGCTGGAGTGCAGTGGTGCTATCTCATCTCACTATAACCTCCGCCTCTCGGGTTCAAGTGATTCTCCTGCCTCAGCCTCCTAAATAGCTGGGATTACAGGCATGTGTCACCATGCCCGACTTTTTTTTTTTTTTTTTTTTGTAGAGACAGGGTTTCACCATGTTGGCCAGGCTGGTCTTGAACTCCTGACCTCGTGATCCGCCCACCTTGGCCTCCCAAAGTGTTGGGATTACAGGTGTGAGCCACCACACCACAATTTAGTAATTTTTTTTTTTTTTTTTTTTTTTTTTTTGAGACAGAGTTTCACTCTTGTTACCCAGGCTGGAGTGCAATGGCGCGATCTCGGCTCACCGCAACCTCCGCCTCCTGGGCCCAGGCAATTCTCCTGCCTCAACCTCCTGAGTAGCTGGGATTACAGGCACGCACCACCATGCCCAGCTAACTTTTTGTATTTTTAGTAGAGACGGGGTTTCACCTTGTTGACCAGGATGGTCTCGATCTCTCGACCTCGTGATCCACTCGCCTCGGCCTCCCAAAGTGCTGGGATTACAGGCTTGAGCCATTGCGCCCGGCAATTTAGTAATTTTTAATCTTACTGTAGTGTAAGCATTTCCTGCTATTGTAAGGTACTTTGTAAATACAATTTTTTTTTTTTTTTTTTTTTTGAGACAGAGTTTTGCTCTTGTTACCCAGGCTGGAGTGCAATGGCGCAATCTCGGCTCACCGCAACCTCCACCTCCTGGGTTCAGGCAATTCTGCCTCAGCCTCCTGAGTAGCTTGGATTACAGGCATGTGCCACCATGCCCAGCTACTTTTTTGTATTTTTAGTAGAGACGGGGTTTCACCATGTTGACCAGGATGGTCTTGATCTCTTGACCTTGTGAGCCAACCGCCTCGGCCTCCCAAAGTGCTGGGATTACAGGCTTGAGCCACCGCGCCCGGCCTGTAAATACAATTTTTAAGAAGTCACTGGTGTCTATTTTGTGATATTTTACTCAACCAGCCTTGATAACAAAGAGTAGTTAGGGACAACTGAATTTTTAAAATGTAAATCTGATTTATTTTTGGAATAAATAATACATTTACATGGCTGAAAGTTCAAAGGATACAAAAAGGCATATACTCCAGGCGACCGCTGTGACCAGCTGCTCATCACAAATGAGAACTTGTTTCTTTTTGCCCCTCCTGCCCCTCCCTGGACTTATGAAAAATTTCAAACCTGCCAAAAGTTTGAAGCTTACAACAAATACCGTCCAACATTCATGTCGTCTCCCTCCCACTTCTCTCCCTTTCTCCTGATTTCCTACAAAACCACGTTTTCATGCCCATGCCTGGGAACTTGATGCTGGCATGGTGAGGTCCTTCACGCTGCTTCCTGCACACACGCGTGTCTTAACAGCTGCAGGCTATTTCATGAGAGATTTGCTCACGGTAACATGGCTGTTCCCAAATGCCAGGCTGTTTTAAGTGTTTCCTCATTATAAACAGGCTGTGCTGTTTTCCTTTAGTTAGGACTTGTTTTGAGGACAGAAGTGGAGCTGGCGGGTGTGAAGCTGCAAGGCCGCCAACCATGGGGGGCTCCCAGGCTGCTCCCATCTCCCCCCGGCTCCTGGGGGGCTGGGGGTTCCGACCTGTGTTCCTTCTGCTTTTGTGAAGAGCCCCTACACTCTATTCCAAGTGCTTCTCCTACTGGTTTTTAATTATTATACTTATGGAACGCTTCGCAAATTTGCGAGTCATCCCTGCCTAGGGGCCATGCTCATCTCTGTATTGTTACAATTTTTGTATATGTGCTGCCGGAAGGGCACACTCCTCATGTCGTTTGTATATGTTTTTAAGATAAATATTCAACATCAATTCCCATTTGTTCCAATTATTTCCCTTCTTTGAGGTTTTTAATTTGCAGCATTTTTACATTTATTTCCGTTTATTTATTTTTGAGAAACAAGGTCTTGCTCTGTCACCCAGGCTGGAGTGCAGTGGTGTGATCATAGTTCACTGCAGCCTCAAACTCCTGGGCTCCAGCAATCCTCCTGCCTTGGTCTCCCAAGTAGCTGGGACTCCAACTGCACATCTTTGCACCCAGCAGCATTTCCCCTTAGTTTTAGATCCTTTCATCCATTTAATATTATTTTGCCCAGAGAAGGAAGCAGTGGCCATGTTAGTTGTGAACTGTCCTTCCTTAAACGCATCCGAGATGCCCCTCCATTCTGCTCCCTCCCTGTGGGCCCCAATAGGCTGCCTGGCCCTCTGAGGGTCCGGGCCATGCCATACTTGATAGAGCAGCCCCTGCCGGGGCACCACCTGTCATCACTCAGCAGTTTTCACCATTCTGTCTTCCCAGGACTGATGGGGACAGTGAGGCATCAAACAGCACAGGTCTGCAGTTCTACAGAGTTGCATTCCAGTCCCAATGCTGTGTGACCTTGAGCAAGTTACTTAACCTCTCTGAGTGTCATGGGGCTAATGGTATTCACCTTGCAGGGTTCTGGTGAGAAGCACACTGGGCATAGTCATGGGCATTTGTGGGCACTAACATTATTCCTCCATGCCTGCCCCAACGAAACAATTCCGGTGGGGATGTGAACTGAAATCCAGCTGAACCTGTGAATTCCTTTGCAGAGAATGAGGTCTTTGCATAATGTGTGTAGTCTCCCATCCAGGAATGTGGAACAAATCTTCCTTTATTCAAGTTTCCTTTTATACCTTCAGGAAAGCTTTGTCGCTCTTCACACTGCCTGAAATTCTCACTGAGGTCACTTCCTGGTGCGCGGTGTGTCCTGCGCTGTTCCGGGTGTCAGCTTCTTCATGTGCCAGTTTTCAGCGGGGCACTTCTGCACTATGGTTTCATTTGCTGGCTGGAGATGTAGAACCAGGGGCTTGAACCCCTCCAACGCCTGCCCACAGCTCCATGAGACAGCCCTCGGCCGCACCCCACAGCATCCTTCCAGAGGCTACCACGGGGTACAGCCAGCTCTGGAGTGGCCATTCCCCCATAAAAGCCACTTGGGCAAACTGGTGTGTATTTCACCACCAGCTGGGCCGGGTCAGGCCTGCTGACGCGCTCTCCCTGCGGTGCAGCTGGGTTGGCAGGTTCTCCCCTGCACTGCCCTAGTGAGTGTTGGCTGAGGGCGCTTCTCACAGCTCAGGCACCACACTTGGCCAGGTTTGGAAAAAGTCTAGTTTATTGCACTGTCTCAAAGCACAACTAAAAATTAAAACCAGAAAGAAAACTGTACAAAGCACGAACCTACAAGGAGTTTAAAATCACCTAGACGTGAGTTTAATTGCACTACAGTCCCGTGGGTGAGGAGAGCGCTGCCATCGTGAGGCGCCGGGCAAGGCACGACAGACACAGAGAGGAGCAGCCCGGCCCGGGGCTGCCTCTGCTGCCACCAACTTTTATAAAAGGTCCTAGAAAAGGGAAGTGTGAAGTAAGATCTGGGATTTCGGCATCTTGTCCTCATTTGGACCGGGGAAACCTCCAACTCTGTGGCTGGCTGGGTGCTGTCAGGGAACACATTTGATCACTCTCCACCTGTGGCCTGGGGCTCCCTGACACTGAGGACTGGGCCTGGGCCAGAGGCAGGCTAATAAAAGCAGCTAGCCTGGCGTCCTGTCCTGAAGCTGCTGCTGGGAGGGGCAGGAGGTGGTCTCAGGGTGGGATGTGTGGCAGGGTGGCCTCGTCCTCTCGCAGATGCCAGTGGGCAGGGTGGGCACTGCCCATCCTCTGAAGGGGCCGCAAGAGCCGTCCATAGAGGCACTGGTTTCAACCTGTTGCGTGTCAGTCCATACCCTGCAGGCGCGGGCTGCCACTCAGAGCCAGGCAGCAGGTCCCACGACCGCCCTGGCAGTCAAGTCTGTGCTGGGGATGCTGCCCCTCTGAAACTGCAGGCCAGGACAGTGCAGGTTCAGGATAAACCCAGGAAGGAGCAAAAGGCCTTCCCCTGTTTTCGGAAAATACGTATCTCTTCTAAATTTGTAAGATTTGATTTGAAATGAGGTATTTTCTGCAGGTTTGTAATACAACAAACAACAAAGGCAATCATTAGTAGACTCGTGCTCTGAGGACGCGTCTGACTGCAGCAGATCTGCCAGCAGCGTTAGTTAATGCCACTCCTAAGACATTCCCAAGCGAGCGACCCGGCTCAGCCTCCCCACCCGACGCCCCTCCTGTGCCGTCCCTGCCTGGGACACACCTGCACACGTGCAGCTCCCATGTGCACCCATTGGTCTTATTGTTTCAGCTGAAGTGTGCTCTCTGAAGTATGTGTGGGCAGTGACGTGTGGTGTAGTGTGATGAGGTGAGGTGAGGTGTGGTGTGGTGTGGTGTGTGGTGAGGTGCCAGGTGTGTGGTGAGGTGTGTGGTGAGGTGCCAGGTGTGTGGTGAGGTGTGAGGTGTGTGGTGTGGTGAGGTGTGGTGTGTGGTGTGAGGTGTGGTGAGGTGTGGTGAGGTGGTGTGAGGTGTGGTGAAGTGCGAGGTGTGTGGTGAGGTGTGAGATGTGTGGTGTGGTGAGGTGTGGTGTGAGGTGTGGTGAGGTATGAGGTGTGTGGTGTGGTGAGATGTGGTGTGAGGTGTGGTGAGGTGTCATGTGTGGTGTGGTGTGGTTTGGTGTGGTGTGGTAAGGTGTGGTGTGGTGTGAGCTGTGTTGTGGTTTGGTGTGGTGTGGTGAGGTGTGGTGTGTGGTGGTGTGGTGTGGTTTGGTGTGGTGTGGTGTGAGGTATGTGGTGTGGTGAGGTGTGTGGTGTGGTGTGGTGTTGAGGTGTGTGGTGTGGTGTGGTGTGAGGTGTGAGGTGTGTTGTGTTGTGAGGTGTGTTATGGTGTGGTGTGTTGTGTTGTGGTGTGTTGTGTTGTGGTGTGTTGTGCTGTGGTGTCATGTGTTGTGGTGTGGTGTGTTATGGTGTGTGTTGTGTGTTGTGTGTGTTGTTGTGGTGTGGTGTGTTGTGGTGTGTGTGGTGTGGTGTGTGGTGTGGTTGGTGTGTCGTGGTGTATTGTGTTGTGCTGTGCGGTGTGCTGTGTTGTGTGTTGTGTTGTTTTGTGATGTGGTGTGTTGTGTGTTGTGTGGTGTTTTGTGTTGTGTTGTGTGTTGTGGTGTGTGTTGTGGTGTGCGTGTGTTGTGTGTTGTGGTGTGTTGTGGTGTGGTGTGTTGTGTTGTGGTGTGTTGTGGTATGGTGTGGTGTGGTGTGTTGTGGTGGTGTGGTATGGTGTGGTATGGTGTGGTGTGGTGTGTTGCAGTGTGGTGTGGTGTGTTGTGGTATTGTGTGGTGTGGTGCAGTGTGTTGCGGTGTGGTGTGGTATCGTGTGGTGTGGTGTGGTGTGTTGCGGTGTGCTGTGTTGTGGTGTGGTGTGGTATCGTGTGGTGTGGTGTGGTGTGTGTTGCAGTGTGGTGTGTTGTGGTGTGGGGTGTTGTGTGTGTTGTGGTGTGGTGTGGTGTGTGGTGGTGTGGTGTGTTGTGGTGTGGTGTGGTATCGTGTGTGTGGTGTGTGTTGCAGTGTGGTGTGTTGTGGTGTGGTGTGGTGTGTGGTGGTGTGTTGTGCTGTGGTGTGGTGTGGTGTGGTATCGTGTGGTGTGGTGTGGTGTGGTGTGTTGCGGTGTGGTGTGTTGTGGTGTGCGTGTGTTGTCTCCTGGCATGGCCAGTGCTCTCCTCTCAAGCCCGGCCTTGGCTTCCCGGCCCGAGCGTCTGGCGTGGAATGTGCTCTGAGGCTTTGTCTCACGACGGGACAAAGCCATCGCCGAGCACATCCCACATCGCCGAGCGCTGCAGAGCACTGAACTTTGGCTCCATCTGGCCGTGGGGCTGCTAATGTGGAAACAGTCCCTGGGCCAACCCAGCTGCCCAGGGGGCTCACAGGTCTGCCCGCTGCCCCTGGCTCTGGGAGGCCTCCGGAGACCACTCCCACCAACAGAAACTGGAGCTATTTGTGGGCGAGACCAGGATGGCAGGACGGGTCATGGGATACCTGCGGCCGTGCAGCCGCCACATCGAGCTCAGAGGCGCCACCGCTGCAGCAGTCGCTCCAGCCATGGGTGGAGGCTGTGGGTTCCGGAACGAGACAGAAACCAACACGGATCAAAGTAAGTGTGTGGGTCCAACCTGGCCACAGGTGCCTGGACAAGTTTCGAAGCAGCATGTCCACCAGGGAGTGACTCGGAAGCCACTGTGCCCACCACAGACGCCTGGACCCTCTGCTCACTCTGCCAGGGCTCCTTCAGATGACCTCCCACTCGTCCTCCAGGTCCTCGGGGTGGGGCATGGCAGCCTGGCTGCTCTTCTGGGCGTCATGTGAGTGGCTGAACGTCTTTGTCAGCCGTTGGAGGAGGTAGCCGGGCGGGCCCACAGCCCACAGCTCATCTGACGCAGTCACTACAGGGACAACAGCCAATCACATACTTGTCAATCACACAGCCTGCGTGGAGGAACGTGGAGACAGGCACCTGGGTGCAGGTCTGAACTTGCAACATTCTAGGTGGGGGCCCCCGACAAGCCACCACCCCCATGTGGACTTCGTGCCTTTGACTGTCAAGTGGGTGCTGTAGCACCTTGTCCTTGCCCCAGGAGACTCTGGCAGCCCAGGTGTCCATGGCCCTTCCCTCCCTGAGACAGGCTCCGGCAGGGAAGCCTTTGCCCTGAGTTCTTGCTGTGGGGGGGGGGGGTGGAGCCCAGAGTGGGCAGCTTCTTTGAGAGCCCCCCGACATGGTCCACAGGAGCCCCAGGCACCCCAAGGGAAGAACATCTTGAGCCCACCGCTCCCTGGCACCTGCCTGTAAAACACGACACACTGCCGGGAATTTTCTTCCAGTAGTCTCCAGCGGGGTTTTTGTCTGTGACGCCATACCGCCGGGCGAGGTCTCCGTTTGGACAGCGGGCCCACACAGTCCTGGTGCTCAGCGCCAGCTGGCACGCCTGCAACCCTGTGGGCAGACAGGGCCCCTCTGAGCCCCTGCGGTGGACGGGATGGGCCAGCACTTCCCAAGCCCACTCTCGTGACACTGCCCTCCTCCAGGGTCCCTGCAGGGATGGAATGCCAATGCTGGGCTGGGCTTGGGGCAGGAGCTGAGGGAAAGGATGTCCAGTTGGCAGGGCCAGCAAAGCCACTGGGAGCCGGAAGCCAAAGGACAGAAGGGCCTGGGCAGTGTGCAAAACACCCTCCCACAAAAGCACCAGCAGGATGGTCTGGGTTCCCCCAAAAAGGAACATGACTGAGGCCTGTTCCCTGCCCCAGGGAGAGGCAGCAGGGCACAGCCCCAGCGCAAGGGCTGCAGTGTGGTGGGGACTGGGCTGCCTCACACCACAGACCCCGTCTGCGGGCTCTTACCTGGCACGTGCTCCCAGGCGGTCCCCACAGGCATCTCCTCGGTGATCCCAGTCCGCACATGCACGTTCCACCTGCTGTCCAGCACCCACAGCATCTGGTCGTTGGGGCTGGAATGGACGCTGATCAAGCTGACCCCGGAGGGCTGGAAGCAGGAAGGGACTTTCAGGGAGGGCAGGAGTTGGGTGACAAGAGGCAGGACGGGAGGCTTCCGGAACTGGGGACATGTCTGTGGCGGAGTGCAGCATGCAGCAGCCAGTGTGGGCCCCGCACCTGGCAGAGAGAACACGTCCTGCCCGCAGCACCAGTCTCACAGGAGAGGGTTATTTGCTTCTAGGACGTTAGGTGGGCCAGACTGAGGGACAGCCCAGCAGATACCAGCCTGGACTCCAGCAGGAGACCAAGAAGAGCGGGGACGCCCAGGTGAACAGAGGGTGGAGGAATGCGGGGAGAGGCACGGCGGACCTGGCTGTGAAGGACGGCGGCGGGCGTTGTGAGAAACAGAATGCCAGCCCACGAGCCCCACCGCCTGCCTGTGCAGCCCTCACCATCCCAGCTCAGCTGAAGGCCCTCTCCTCTAGGCACAGCCGTCTCCCTAATGTGCCGCCGGGCAGACGACATCCCCATAGCCCAGGCCATGGCACAAGGCTGCCGCCCTACCCTGGTCTTCTGACAGCCTCTGTCCATGCTCAGCATCTCTGGTCCCTTGTCTGCTCTTCAAAGGACAGGAGAAAGTCCCCTCGGTGTCCTGTCTGCTGTCCACTGGCAGCTCCAGTTTGTCTCAGGGCTGCCCACCCCTCAGCTGGACCAGGTCTCTAAGCCCACGAGCACTGCACTGTCTGGGGGTCCTGGCCCTCTGGTCACCAGTGGTGCTGGTGGGTGACCCATGCCCTGAGGGGCTGGCTGTCTCCTGACTGCCTGGCGCTGCCTGCTTTTCTGGAAGCAACAGTCTTCCCTGCTGCATCTGTGGTCTTGGGCCTGTGCCCTCCTGGTTGGCCTCCATGGAACCCTGAGTGCATCACCAGTGGACACTGGCGGGTCCCTTGCTGTCACCACGCATCTCCTGCTCCATGCTTTGCTCTTAGGGCTGCTGTGAGTAAAGTCACGCTAGACACCCTGTGGCACGCTCTGTCTGCACAGTGATCCTCTCACAGCACCCGTGTCGCACACCTGCCAGGTCCAGACACTCTCAGGGCCCTCACTCAGACAGTGGGGCCTCCCTCCACCTGCGCTTCCCTGAGCGAGGTGCCCTCGCCAGGGTGCCCACACCCTCACCTGCTGGCGGCTCTGAGCAGGGGCCCCTAACTGTGGGCCGATGAGCACATGCATGCACTGCCTTCCGTGGGCACCAAGTCCCACACCTCAGCCCCAGGGCCAGTCTCAATGGATCAGGACACGGAGGATGGAGAGACAGAGCAGCAAGGAGGGCGGGAGTGGCTGCTCGGGTGGGCATGTCACCACCGGTCACCACCGCCTGGGCCAGTGTCTGCCTTGCTGCCTCTCAGTCCTCTGAGGACCAACTGGTTCTCCCAAACTGGGCTGCAACCCCACGGCTGAAACACTGCCAGGCATGGGGCTGCCATCTGACTCTGGCTGTCAGAAAGTTCTCTTTTGAAAACATTTTTTAAAAAGACACAGTCTTACTCTGTCACTTAGGCTGGAGTGCCCTGGTGCAATCCCAGCTCACTGCAACCTCCGTCTCCCTGGCTCAAACGAACCTCCCACCTCAGCTTCCCAAGTGGCTGTGACTACAGGCGCACACAACCGCACCAGGCTAATTTTTGTATTTTGTTGTAGACACTGGGTTTCACCATGTTGGCCAGGCTGGTCTTGAACCCCTGGGTTCAAGTAAGCCACTCACCTTGGCCTCCCAAAGTGCTGGGATTACAGGTGTGAGCCATCGTGCCCGGCTGTAAAGTTCTGTTTTGTCTGAGCCCATTCAGGGCTTTGGAGGAGTCCTGGAGCTGGAGGAGCTCTCAACCTGGCAGTGGGGCAAGTGAGCTTTTTTTTTTTTTTTTTGAGACGGAATCTCACTCTGTCACCCAGGCTGGAGTGCAGTGGCATGATCTTGGCTCACTGCAACCTTGCAACCTCCACCCCACGCATTCAAGGGATTCTCCTGCCTCAGCCTCCCAAGTAGCTGGGATTACAGGTACCTGCCTTCACGCCTGGCTAATTTTTATAGTTTTTAGTAGAGACAGGGTTTCGCCATCTTAGCCAGGCTGGACTAGAACTCCTGACCTCAAGTGATCTGCCCGCCTCGGCCTCCCAAAGTGCTGAGATTACAGGTGTGAGCCACCACGCCCGACCTGGAACCCCCTTTCTATATATCACACCCATTTCCATTCCATGGACCTGGGGTGCAGAGGCACAGATTTGGGGAAGGGCTACTCTAGGCTAAGCTCCCATTCCAGGGGGATGCAGGGACTCCAGGGAAGAGAAGGGAGTGGCCTGCAATCACTCTGTAAAGCAGGGCTGGGTGGGGAGGCCAGGTGGCCGAGGAAGAAGCCTGCCAGCTGAGGCTGAAGCTGAGGCCACCCGGCTGTGTGCAGCGGTTCCTGCCCTCCCCACTCAGGAGGCTGCATGGAGTAGACAGAAAAGCAGCCCAGGCCTCGCCCCTCAGCCCACCAGCCAGGGTCCCCACACGGTGGTGAAGAGCCGGGTCCCTGCCGCACGCTGCCCACCGTCCTGGCCCAGAGCTGAGACGCGCTGTGGTTTGAAGCTGCTAGCTTTTGAACAGTAAGTCAGGGACAATGGGAAAGATGGAGAAAGAAGGCGATGACTGTGCTGCAGGCGAAGGGCAAGAACAGGGAGGACTGAAGTGCAGCCTCCGAGAGATCTCCAGACAGGGCAACATGGGCGCCGGAAGGAGCGAGGTGCAGGCGGAGAAGCGCTCGTGAGCAGGCGGAGGGTGGCCACCCCGCATCCCTTCCCTCTTCTATCACCTCGCAACATCTCAGGAACATAAAACTTCCCGGTCACCCTGGTCTCTCTCACCTCTGCCCCTGACATGAGACTCCACCCATTTACCAACCTTTGCTAGAAGCCTCTAGAACAGAGTACGGTGGGAAGCACGGGCAGGGCCCAGCCTCACCCTGGCCTCGCCAGCTGTTCCTTCCCAGCACACATACCCCCTCGAGCCCTGCCCACCTGGCAGGCTGCTGCCCACCCTTCACAACCCCACTCGTGCTGCCTGCCCGGTCTCTGGGAAGGGCCACTGTGCTGCCCGCAAGCTCCCTGCAGGTGGAGGCCTCGTCTGCCCACGTGGCATGCTCAGGACCAGCCCGATGCTAAGAAGGCACACAGAGGAGGGACCCCGGCTACCTGCTTCCCTTGGAAACATCCTTCGTCCCCAGCCCTTCACCTGCTCTGGTCCCATAAAAAGAAAAATTCCATTTTGTATTACTGCAGGACAACATACATTTGAAAAATACACAAATCCTAAGTGTGCAGCGTGGTGGAGCTTCCTGATTTGAGGGCACCGGTGTGACCAGGGTCTGGCCCAAGAAGCAGGAGGTGAGCCCCGCCCAGCCCTCCTGAGCCCGCTGCTGCTGCACTCCTGACACCAGACTCCGACTTTACGTGATGGAAGCTCATTGCATAGCGGCTTCTCCCCGAAAGGAGGACTGGCACCGCCTGGCAAGGCCCTCACTCCAGGTAGGAGGGAGGCTAGCCTGCAGACAGCCCAGGAGGGCTTCAGGAAGGGGTAGGGACAGAGGCCAGTTCTCGGAGGCTGGAAGAGCAGAAATAGCCTGATGAAAAGCACACAGGGACACCAGTAAATGAGCTCTAAGAGAGGAAGAGCGCTGGGCATGGTGGCTCATGCCTGTAATCCCAGCACTGTGGGAGGCCGAGGTGGGCAGATTACTTGAAGTCAGAGTCCAAGACCAGCCTGACCAACATGGAGAAACCCCATCTCTACTAAAAATACAAAAATTAGCTGGGCATGGTGGCACGTGCCTGTAATCCCAGCTACTCGGAAGGCTGAGGCACAAGAATCACAACCCCGGGAAGCAAGATCACACCCTTGCACTCAAACCTGGGCAAGAAGAGCGAAACTCTGTCTCAACAAAAAAAAGATAGAAAAGTTGGCAGACTCGGGGCTTGCTGTGCTGCCTACTCTCTGGGCTGGAAACAGAAAGGCCTGGCCCTAGCCCTGCCTGTTGGTCCTGCCTGCCGGGGCTCTGGATGCACCCCGAGAGTGTCACGAGATGATGCCTGCAAGGAGCTTCATTACCAGCAGGGCCGGGCATCAGCGAGGGATGGTTCTCAATGAGGTCAGAAGCAATGGCAGTCACTGGACCTCAAAGCAAATGACCTCATCATCTTCCTCTGGAGAAAGCCCGTTTCAGAGCAGTTCCCAGTGGGAAGCAGCTCAGGATCTTGGGAGCCGGGAATCCCACCGTTTACTCCCAATATGCAAGGGCGGTGCCGCGTGGGCTTCACAGGCAGCCCCGCTGCGTGGCTTTGTCACAGTGGCCTGATTCGCTACCGGCCTCAAAACATCTTTGCTGTATTTATTTTAACTCAGTGTTTTTTTGTTTTTTTTTTGTTTTTTTTTTTTTGTAACTGTCACCTCTGGATTTGCTTGTTTATTTTTGCTTATTTGTTTTCAGAAAGCACTGATGTAAGCGTCTCCACTAAAGTTAGTGTAGATTCTTCTTGAGCCTTTCTCTGGAGGCAAAAGCACTCCCTGCTGACCCTGGCACTGCTGGTCTGTTAGCTGTGCTGAGTGCAAGAGCCCCTCACTGTCCTCTGGTTTGTACCAGAAGTCTGGGGTTGAATAAGCCCTCATTTAAACAGACTAAACCCAGACACACCTAGGGGCTGTCAGAGAGAGCAGGCATCACTCAGCGACACACACTGTAGGATTCCATTTCTATGAAACGTCCAGAAGCGGAAAACCTCAGGAGAAAGCAGGTGAGCAGCTGCCAGAGGCTGGGAGAAGGGAAGATGGAAGAGGGATGGGGCGTGGCTTCACAAGGGTAGGCGCGTCCTTAAGGGATAAGAATGTTCTGGAACGAGGCCGGGCATGGTGGCTCACACCTGTAATCCCAGTGCTTTGGGAGGCTGAGGTGGGTAGATCACTTGAGGTCAGGAGTTTTGAGACCAGCCTGGGCAACATGGTGAAACCCTGTCTCTACT